CGCTCGAACCCTGCTTTCGTGCAGAGGAAATCTCTAGCCATATAAGACACTTATTTAAAGGTAAGTACCCATTTCAACCTTTAAAAAATATATAAATAAAGTATTCACATCTGAATGGTTTGAAACGAATTTGGCCGATCTCTCTTTAACAGGGCATATCTCAACTATAAATGTGTTTTATGGAATCTATTATACTTTCAGAAGTGATGTGTGATCTTTCATGGTTTTTTTTGAAAGGCTATTAAATGAGTGCTAGAGAAGTAGATAAAGTTGAGAATATGATTATTAACTTTATTTATAACTCAAGTGGAGTTGTTTTGAGTTGAGAAGAATAAAGAACATCCTTTCTGCCCCAAACACATGATCAATGATACTCCATAATGTTTTTTTGTTAATAAATGGGAGTCGGGTAAATAAAAAGATTATGCTTTCTCAAAGTACGGAGTACTATTTATTCAGATAACTCATGCAAGAGTACTTTCAACATTATGGGATCCTTTTAGATCCACTCTGATGTTCTTTAACATCTGAAAATGTTTTGTTTTATTCAAATTATGAACAACACATCCATCTTATGCATTTATAGGTGTCTGTATTTCATACCACCTCTTTTAAATCATGTGCACTGACCAATTTGTATTACATCACTTCTATAGTTTAGAATTTGGAGTAAGCAGCAATAATTTCTCATTCCAAACCAGAAAATCATTGTTAATGCAAGCATGGATGGGACAATTCAGGTTCAACCCTTCTTTTGAACTTTATAGACTCTGTTATAGTTTCATTTTTTTTGTTTTTTTTTTGCTCTTTGTTACTATACTCTGCTCGCGAAGATATTAGTTGAGAATGAAAATAGTATGATTTAGCTTGAATGTGCCATAATGAATGATTAGCTTAGTTCTGTTCCAAATTACAATAAGTTTTGCCTAGCCCAGAATTTAAGATTTCTCCCATACTTTGCTTTTTATCCTTGGGGTGGAGGAAGCTAAATAAAACCGCACTTATAACTCGATTATATACTGGAATTAGAAATGAAGTTTACATACCTTTGTTTGATAAAAAAAAATATGATTATTAACTTTGCATTATGTTACCAGATGCAATTTAAAGCTACTTTTATTAATCATTTAGAAAACATATACTACTACCTTCCTGTCAAGGGCTAACAATATAAACACATGTCCAAGAAATCATTTAGTTTTTGTGGAATATAATATCCCTGTTTAACAAGGATTTTCACTACTCTATAATTTGATATATCAGTGTAATCAAATTAATGCTTCTCAAATTTGGTAAATTAAAGACCTAAAGCAATTCCAGGGAGAATGTCCAATAACTACTATTTACTACGTGGTATTATGATAAATAAATTGCATGTCCTTTTTGTATCTTTACCACATCTTTTAAATATCAAAAGTTTTGATCATTTCAAACCACATAAAAGGACTTATTGCACCTGTAAATAAAATAAAATTCCAGAATAGTCATTCAAACGCTAAAGTGGAAATTTAGCCCCTCTTTGTCAACCCATTAACAATGGGAGTCTAGAAATGACCTAGTTGAGGAAAAGTTACCAAAAGTTTAGTTAGGGGCTTCCTCGCATTGTGAATCATCTGCTAACGGAACGTAGTTTGCAATAAGAATGAATTGAGAGGCGCTAGAATAGGATGTTTAGAACTCAGAGAGGACTCAAGGAGATGATACATCATATTGAAGTAAGAATGAACTGAGAGGTGCACATGCAGCAATAATCTGACACTAATGTGTCATTGTATCCTTATATTCCTTTTGTAATCTCTAATAATATGTGTTATAGGATGGTGAACAGTTATAAAGTTGCGGTGGGTGTAATTGGGGAGAAACACCACATTTCGCATATTGATCAGTTCTAGGCTCCTAGCCATGCTACTGCCCTAATGTTGCAGACCATTGCTTCAAATGTGGTTCAGTTTATCTACGGCAGAGCATTGCATGGATAACTTCCATTTAAGGTGGCAGAGGAGTTTGCAGGTGACTATATGTGTTTGGCGTTCGATGGGGAGAAACTTCCCTATGTTGTTTCTGTCATACTACGTATGAGGTTATGTATGTCTATCCATCATATAAGCTTGCTTTAAATGATATGGAAGTGTTTATCTATGTATTGTATGGTATGTCATGTGAAAAGGTACATGTTGAATATTAAATCTCTTCTATTTTTGGCATCCGTGCATAATTGTCACTAAAACCGATAATTTGTTATGCCTAGATGAAATGTATCCCAAGTTGACAAATAAACCTCTTAAAAAGAAAAAGATACTTGATTAAAGCTGTTACTAAAACTTATAGCTTTGTTAACCTTAGCTAGAAAGTAGCTTCCTCTTGATGTCTCTTATATTAATCAATAGAAAGTAATAATGTGACAAAAGAAGTTAGACTGGGTCTACTTGGTTAAACATGTTTGAATAATATAAGTTGAGCTACCTGGACTGGATTCGAGAGGATCGGACATAGTAACTTGGTTCATTTTACTCTCATGTGACAGTAATCTTACATACAAACTTTAAAGAGTGAACCCGATCTATATATTAACAACAAGACTTCATTCCTCTTGCTTTGTGGGAGCCGTAGAATTTTAATGAACCTGAATATATGATTTTTAGTTAATTATTTTTTAGAAGTGTAGCATTGCTCCTCCATGGTTTGGATTATATTTGTTTCATCTTCTTATGGTTTACAATTTTTGTATCCCATTTTGCAGCCTTGGAGGTGGGTGAGGCTTTCAATTTGAGAAATGTATGCATTTGAACATCTCTTTTGGTGAAAAATGTTTTGATTATGCAATTGTGGGTTTAGATTTGTAATACAGAATTGCCCAATTTCAGAAGTTAGAAATGAAATGTACCCAACTTTAGTGCAGCTCATTGGTCTTATACCTGGTGTTAGTCAATAACTTGATATGTGTATGGACATATACTTGGTGCTATTCAATGACCCGAAACATATATAGACGTGTCTTTCTTTGATTTATGTAGAGTGCAACCCCTAGAAAAAAACAAAAACATATATTGCTTTTGGATCACATTCTTTCCACGTCATCTACGGTTAGTTTTTCTTGATTTGTACTATAGTACTAAAAAACGGGATACTTTTCACTACATTTCCAACTACACTCCTAAATAACATTAGTAACATTATATTAGGCATTATCCCATTGCGCAACGTGCATGAAAAAAACTAGTATACTCATAAAGTACAAAAGTTATTATAAAATGGAAGTGTCACAATACGTTTCCTCCTTTTATTAAATTCATAAAGTTCAATAAAAACCATTCAACAAAATTGCTTAACCGACTATTGTCATCTTATACGTTGAACACCAACTAATATGAACTTTCCAAATCCAGTCTGACTCCTTTTATGTGGTTTGGGCTAATCAAATCGAATGATGTTTTTTTTGTTGAAAATTTTCCGGTCTCAGACCAGATCAAGTAGTATTCGAATAAGCCAAATTTAAACATGTCAAATCAGACTAGACTTAGACAAAATAACACATCTAACAGACCAAATTAGATAAGACTTAAACGGGTCAGATAAAACCATAAAAATTAAAAGGTTCTAGACCAACGAAAAATGACCTAACACTTGAGTACTTGCGTGTTACCACTTCTATAAGGCTATAACTACTACTGTTAGAATGTTTTCTTTTGGACTGAAATTTGCTAGTCTGGTCTGGTCTGGTAAACGTCTGATCTCTGTGTATTTTATAACTACGGAAGTCTTGTCTGGTCTGGTCTGAGACTGAAAACAGTCCAAAAGAAAACATCCTTAATATTGTTACAAAGGCATTTTCTATGAGATGAGAACATTTTAGAGTTAAATAACTCTAGGAATCATATTCTAGCACAACGATTAATGAATACTCTCTCCATCCTGGTGGATTTTGCCAACTTTCTTCTTTTCATTATTAAAAAAGTTTTGTCACTTTTAGATTATAACGACTAATTTGTTCTACTCATTTTTCTCACCTCTGCATAAAATCTCAAGCACACAACTTTAACTTTTTTTAAATCTCTCAATCAATTCAAACTTAACAAAGTCTACGAGGACGGAGGTAATAAATGAAAACTTACATTAAAGGAAACTAGATCAAATAACATCTAAATAGACTAATTAGGTCAAACTAGACTAAACGTGAAAAAGGAATATGAAGAGAAGATATTCTCAATTATGAGAGGTTCAAATTCTAACATAAAAAGATGGACAAAAATAAAATAAATGAGCTCAAAATAGGTTAGATTTAGACAAATTATATCAAAAAGTATGTTTTTACTTGGTCTGTTTTGAATCTATATCAGATTAGATTTAAACAAACACGAGCAGATCTGACTAGATTTTCCATAATTACAAAATATACAGTAATCAGATATTTATCAGACCAGACCAATTCAAATCAGACCAGATCAGACCAGACTTAAACAGATCCAGTCCAATAAAAAACATTCTAAATGAAAACATCTCGATTAAAGTGAAATTAGGTTAAACTTGAAAAAGGAAAATGAGGAGAAGATATTCTCAATTATGAGAGTGCCATGTCAAGACCCCTAATGTACTTCCAAATGAACGTCCAAAATAGCATTCAACATTCAAAGTTTAGGTAATGTGAAGTGTTGGCACCAATTCATCAAAACTCAAAAGTCTCCCCTCAATCAACAAGAGAATTAAGCACGACACTCTAAGCTATAATCGCCCATTAGCCACCCGTCTCGTCTTTACCATTTCGATAAGGCGTCAACTCAGACGTAGACCGGTCCGCCCGAGTGCGAAAAATCATTACCCACCCACTTTGTGCCCGGTCGGACCCGCCAAACCGCCCCTCGTCTCCCCCACCTGTCACTTCTCTTCTCACTCAGTTACTGTAATTTTGGTAAGAATACGGAGGAGCATATTCCACCTTGCTGAGCTCATTTTCTGCTTTTACCTAAATAAATCGCCATTTCAATAAACTAATACGGGTTCCTGCTCTCTCTCCGCGTCTCAATTATTTGGGTTTTTTTTGGCAGCAAGAAAGTTTGTTACTTATTCCCTCTCTCTCACTTCACACCAATTGTGCCCCAATCAATTTGCCCAAGTGGTGTTTGTGCTTTTTTTGCTCTCAAACTGTCGGGTTGTTCGTTCATAGCTGCTTTTTTTGGTTTTCTTGTTTCGTTCTGAACGTACTATTCTACTTCCTAGTGCTTTTCCTGTTTTCAGCTAATGTAAATTGGAGGCTATATATGTTTCTTTTCGAGTGCTCTGTATACTAATTATGTAAAGTGTCAAGAACCCGTTTTCCTTCACTCGTCCTTCTCTTTCTGTGATTCTGAATTGGATTGAGCTACTGTTCTGCCATTTCCGAATCATGGGAGGCTGTTCGCGCTAATCCTTGAAGTTATCTGTGAATGTGCGGTTGTGTTGAATCTGGTCTGAAGTACTGAGATTAGGGCGTATAATATTAAAATGGGTTCTCGCTAAATCATTGATTGGGACCTTCTTCCTTCATCTTGAACCCCTTTTGTTCGTATACTTAATTTCGAACTATGTAACTGGAATCTAGGCTGCCCATTTTCTGCAATTTGTTTTTTTCCATTTTCGTAGAAAATTGATGAAAACTGGTGTCATGGAGCAAGTCCACCGCTAGTTGGTATATTCGATTCAGTACATAGTTGTGGCTCTGTTAGTTTCCTTTACTTAATCTAACAATTCTTTTGGGGTCAATGGAATTCAAGTAGATAGAGAAGTTTTGCTCAAGAGTCTAGTTGATTGCTATTCGATTCTTTTATAAAATTCTTTCTTTAGTGAATATCCATTGACATGTAAAGCTCTTTAACTCAGTGTTGAATTTCATGGACTTTGTTGAAGGTTAACTATACATACATAATATATGGATTTTCTAAACTTTCTATATGTGTTTCCCCTCTCAAATATTTCATCAATAACCACGTAAGTATTGTCTTCTTGCCCAAATCTTCTTATTCTGTCAGTTATGTAGTTAGTAGTCGTATGGTACCTCTCAAGCCCCTTTCAACTGTATCAAATTTAGTGTAAATCCCAGTGACCTCATCAGCTCCTATAAAAGGGGAACACAAAGAATCCCAAGAATATCTTGTTAAGTAAAGAAAAAAGAACATGGAAGAAACATTTGTACCCTTCCGCGGAATCAAGAATGATCTAAAAAGAAGAATGCTATGCTATAAGCAAGACTGGACAGGGGGAATCAGTGCTGGCATCAGGTTTGCGGATTTTGCTTTAGCTCAAAGTCATTTTATTTGTTTTAGTCTTTTACTTTTGGATATCCTTTTTACTTTCTTACTTTTTAACGTTATAATTGTCTATATCTCTTTATTAATTAGTACTTTATCATTTTTGTTGTTGTTAAAGGATCTTGGCTCCAACAACATATATATTCTTTGCATCGGCAATCCCAGTCATATCTTTTGGGGAGCAGCTAGAAAGAAATACCGGTTGGGATATTTGTTATTTTCCACTATTTTTGTATTTTCTCTACTCATCACCATCCCATTACTTTTTCCTTGGAAGTGCAAAGAAACATATGGTTCTGTTTGGAACCAGGAAAATACAATGGAAAGGATAAGAAGAAAATCTGGAGGAAATGACTTGGGGGAAGAAAAAGCATACGCTCAAGCTCAATAAAGTTAGAGTTTTTTTTTTTCAAACCCACCAGGGTTGTTCAACCGGTTTGAACCCAAGAATAAAAGTTCTCTGAGGTCTCTAGTTTAAACCCCATGGAGGGCCACCAGAGGATATACCTGGATGTTAACTTTAGGCCCCGTGGAATTATTCACATCAAAATGTTACGGACACCCGCATCAAAGAATAGAGAGAGGTTTTTCCTTAAATATTTCACTGAAATAGAATTTATGGACAAAAAAGTTACTAAAGTTACTATGCATATACCATCACAGTCTCCTATGTTATCTGATCGTCGATTACTCCCCGAGTACTAGCTAAGTACTCGCTACTCGGGGTAGGGCCTGCCCGATTAGTATTCTGAGTCGTACTGTTAAATTTTCATGCAACTTGCCTAGCACTTGGCAATTTTCACTACTCGATGACAAGGTTGACTCGCCGAGTTACTCATTAGCCAATCTGAAATAATAATTTTGGGCTTAAATATGAAAATTTTAAACTAAATTGGGATATTGTGGAATTCATGAATGATTAGTAGGTATTTTAGAAATTGGTAAAATAAGATTACAGTTAGTTTAAGTTTGGAATATGGAGGACGAAGAAGAAAATGATGACCTTAAGCCCAATGAAGATCAGTTTACGTCTCTAGGACAGAAGTTCAGAATTAAGTATTATTAGATGACTGATTGTTTTGAAAGTTAGAGTGTATATGGTTGTTGGGATTTGTTTCAACTTCATTATTAGGATTATCACTAGTCACTACTACCTCCGTCCCACTACCATTGGGACATGAGGAGGTGGTGCAGTTATTAAGAAAAGTGGGTTTATGTGGTTGACATTGAATTGAAAAAGTAAGAATAAAGTAAGAATTATTTAGAACCACACAAACTTTACCAATTTAGTATGGGACAATCTCAGTGGGACGGACTGAAAAGGAAAGATGAGACAATCTTAGCGGGTCAGAGAGAGTATTATTTAATTCATATTTAAGAATTTTAAGTCTAACATATTACTAGAATTTTGGGGCATTTATGTTTTAAGCTTACTTAATATAGGGCTGAGTAATTACCTGGTAATCTCGAGTAATTGATCCCAATTGTTACCCGACCTTTGATTGAGTTGTCACCTAGTAGTGATTTACCGACTTAGATAGTCACTGAAGTGTAAAATTGAACATAGTCATCGTCACTAAACTACTAAAGTTACTATAATAGTCACCAAAGTATAAAAAATCACATTTTTCCCATTGTCTTTATTTTAGACATATATTTGTCATTACTTCATAAATTTGTTTTAGAAATTGGTTCAAAATCATTTATTTATGGGAAAATGGAAACTAATAAGCCAACCTTTTAGCGGTCTTCTTACAATAGTCCCACATTTTCATTATTCAGGAATAATCCAACCTTTGCGCCCCATCTTCATTTGTTGGTCCCTGACCGGTTGATGACCTGCTAATCTGTTATTCCAAGTTATTTTCTTATCTTTGTAAAATATTATACCATAAATCCCACCTTATGGTCACATAATGTTTTGCAAAGATAAAAAAATAACTTGGAATAACATGTCATCAACCGGTCATGGACCATCGAATGAAGATGGAGTGCAAAGGTTGGATTATGCCTGAATAATGAAAAGGTGAGACTATTGTAAGAAGCCCACTAAAAGGTTGGATTATTAGTTTCCATTTTCCCTTTATTTATTGATGTATTTATACTATAAAGGCAATTAGAATTCTAAATATATTTAAAAGAACTTATTACGTAAATGATATATTCTTTTGCATTTCCCAAGGTAAAATACTACTACCTCCGCCCCCGTGTTATTGTCCCATTGCGGTTTACGATGTTTGACCGATGATAAAGCAAACAGATCCCTGTCCACACTCAAATTATTTTTAGGAAAAAAAATTACATATTCAGAAACTACATTAAAAGCTTTACAAAGTGCAAAAACCAGAATCAAATTTGATAAAAATTTGATACATAAAGTAAGAGATTAAGAGTGATTTGTGTTGGCCAAGTGAATAGAAATTGAGACAATAACTGGGGGACGGAGGGAGTAATACATAAAACAAAACAACTTTCCGTGGCATTTTTTTGTCGTCCTCCTAGCATTTTTACGGAATCCTAAGACTCCTAACATACCCACTGTGATGACGGATTTGGCCTTTCATCATGCTATTGTTCCTTTATAGCAAGGTTCTGACAAGGACATTGGATAAAAATTCGTGTCTATTTTTTCATGAATTGGTAGTGTCTACTAATTTTAGTTGACACTAGAAACTCAATGCCCCCCTACCTGACATAGTTCAGGATGATGAATGCAATACATGTGCTTTCTAAATTGACGTAATTGTACTATGTTTGTATGTACTGTATGTATGGCAGATGGAATTATAACTGCAGTCCAGACTCTTGCATCAACAGCACTTTGCGGTGTGGTCCACTCAATTTTTGGCGGACAGCCGCTCCTGATTCTAGGGGTTGCAGAACCAACTGTGTTGATGTATACTTTCATGTTCAACTTTGCAAAGGATCGAAGTGATTTGGGCCCCACTTTATTTCTAGCTTGGACTGGATGGTAATAGCCCAATTTTTACCTTTAATACTACTATTTTTGTTGCTGTTGTTATTACTCTGACTATTACCATCACTGTTGTTATAGAACTATAGAAGTGCCATTGAGCTTTCTGATATTGTGTCTTTTAGGGTGTGCGTATGGACAGCTTTTTTACTCTTCTTGCTAGCAATATTGGGAGCATGTTCTATAATAAACCGATTCACACGCATTGCTGGTGAGTTATTTGGACTTCTGATAGCAATGCTCTTTATGCAGCAAGCAATTAAGGTGAGTTGGCTTTAAATTTAAGTCCGTTTAAGTTCTTTAAATGGTTCAATGGTTTGGCTAAACCCACAATATTAACACAAATATGCATAGAATGTAGCAATGGATTATTTGGACTATAACCTGTTTGGTAATGGCTATATGATTGAAATGGCTGAAAAAGTAAAAGCGTATGGTAATATTCATTAGTCCAAATAAGCAAGTTAATAGCTACTTATTCTGCTTATGTCACATCTCCTGTTTAGCATACAATTATTGTCAGCACAGTAAGTCAAAACAAGCTCTTTATCATTATCTTTGAAAGGCTCATAGCTACTACTTGAAATCCTTGTAAATATGATAGCATCCCCCATCAGCTATGATCCATAAAAAAACTCTTGTATCAGATAAAGTGGAACACACATTTCCTGTTTAGCATATAGCTATAAGAAAATCTTCACTAACTTATTTATCTATCATGAAGGGTCTTGTGGAAGAGTTCAGAACACCGGCAAGAGAAAACCCTAAACAGGACGCGTTCTCACCTTCGTGGCGCTTTGGAAATGGAATGTTTGCACTGGTTTTATCTTTTGGCCTTCTTTTTACTTCATTGAATAGCCGCAAAGCAAGGTCCTGGCGCTATGGGACAGGTATGTGAATGCTCATATTATATAACTTAGGTGCTGTTTCATTCTTCTTATCTCTTTTGCTTATTACAGTTTTTATTTGAATCACATCAGACCACTAGACTAGAAATATTCAGACATCAGATCTCTAGACTAGACCAGAAAGGTTCAAGATAGACAATATCTTATTTCATGCTAGAAAATGAGACAAGATTAGACATCTTTGTACTAGATTAGACCAGAAAGGTTCAGAATCGTACCAGATCTTTTATTTCGTATTTTCATACAAGAAAATTTGAAAAAAAAAATCAGACCAGGCCAGACCAGAAACTTTTTTTTCAATCCAGAAAGGTTTAGGTTCAGACAATCTTTTATATTTCATACATGAAAATTAGACGATATTAGAAACATTCATATCGGGTCATCTAATCTACACTAGATATGAAGAATTCAGACCAGATCAAACTATACTAGATGGTTTTAGATCAGCTCAATCTAGATCAGGTCAAACTAAATCTAAAATGAATCTGATTAGATCATATTTTAGGCAAAGAGTACATGTCTTAAGTGTTTACTCATGATGCTTACTTGCATGATATATTTTATCAATTCACCTGGCAATATGTTGAAATGACTTTCTTTACTATCTATTAGCATTTTCAATTTTGTTCTCTCAATTAAGACTTTGATTTGCTTCAAAGGTTGGGTCAGGGGATTTATTGCTGACTATGGTGTGCCCTTTATGGTGCTTGTTTGGACTGCTCTATCTTACATACCAGTTCATGATGTGCCCCAAGGAATACCACGACGGCTATTCAGCCCAAATCCGTGGTCTCCTGGTGCTTATGCAAATTGGACTGTTATAAAGGTGCTTCTTTGATAAATTTTCCCGTTAATTAGTATAATCCCTGAGGGTGTGTTTGTGATGAAGAAGAAAATCTAGCTCCACCCTCCTAGAACGTCTTTACAAAACATGGGGGGGGGGGGGGACTCTCCCATCCCTTCTCTATGAAGTACAAACCAAACAACCCTCTAAGTGGAATGAATTTCAAAACTCATACCTGTCCTGTATTCTCTCTCACCAGGAGATGGTGCATGTGCCTCCACTGTATATTATCGGAGCATTTATTCCAGCAACAATGATTGCAGTCCTCTACTACTTTGATCACAGTGTTGCTTCTCAACTCGCCCAACAAAAGGAGTTCAACCTTAGGAAACCTTCTTCATATCACTATGACCTCCTGATTTTGGGCTTCTTGGTAAGAAAGCCAAATGCGCTTCTAGTGTTCGTCTTATAATCACAAGTGTATTGATTTCTAACTTTTTCCCATGTATGATTTTTGTGCATCGAGTAGGTGATAATATGTGGTCTTATTGGAATCCCCCCTTCCAATGGAGTCATCCCACAATCTCCCATGCATACGAAAAGCTTGGCTACTTTGAAACATCAGGTAATAAATATCAGGACCGCTTAATCTGCAATTTTATATGCTCTTTTGTTCACCTTAATCTGATTGCTTACTACTACCTCTTATATTAATGAGATTAGACTGAAAACATTCTGACCAAACTAGATTTAGATTAGACTAGATGTTGTGAACCGAAAAATAAAAATCAATGGGGTAAACCGTTGCCCAGATAATCAACGATAAAAATACCGTTGCCCAAAGCCAAAAGGCTAAACTCCGATTTTATTCCAAGATAAGCAAGAATGAACCCATGCAAGGGGTATAAATAGCCTTCTAAAAGAAACCCTAATCGAGCCCAAATTAATTAAATCCTAATTAAGCCCATACTAACTCTATGAAATACTCTATCTACTAATAATAGGCCCAAACTAGAAAACATAACATAAACTATAATAATAAATAGAACTATAACCCTAGCCCACAACCAGCCCACGGAGGTGGGCTCAAGCCCGTTCCCGCCCCTTGATCTTTCTGCTCTCTATCACTAGACCAAACCAGATGCTATAGTTTGTTCAAAAAAAGTTAGACTAGATAAAAAAACATTCAGATAAAATCTTACCAGACCAGGCCAGACCTTAAAACATTAAGACCAAATCGGAACATATTATATCCGTCTTAAGTCATAGGCATTAAGTGCCAACAATTATGATGTGCTGCATGTATGGTATGACTATGGACACATCAGGTTCTTTATTTTTTTGATGTTGTCATTATCGAAGTTTTTAAACCTCATCGTTTGATGCAGCTTTTGCGGAATAAGCTCGCATCTACTGCTAGAAAAAGCATAAAACAAAATGCAAACCTTGGGCAATTATATGGGAGCATGCAACAGGCTTATAATGAAATGCAAACTCCACTTGTCTACCAAACTCCTCCTGGACTGGTAAAAACATTGTCGTAAATCATCTATTCTCAGAGAGATCTTATGTAAGACGTGTGTGCAAAATATGATGAAAATGCTTCCACTTGACGCTCATATCCTTGACACAGGGATTGAAGGAACTCAAAGACTCTACAATTGAACAGGCATCGAGCACTGGGTACATTGGTGCTCCTGTAGATGAGACAATTTTCGATGTGGACAAGGATATTGACGAACTTTTGCCATTAGAAGTAAAAGAACAGCGTGTTAGCAACCTGCTTCAGTCATTGATGGTTGGTGGCTGTGTTGCAGCTATGCCTATTTTGAAAAAGATTCCAACATCGCTACTCTGGGGATACTTTGCATTCATGGCTATCGAAAGCTTGCCTGGAAATCAGTTTTGGGAGAGGATATTGTTGCTTTTCACGACCCCAAGTCGACGATACATGTAAGAGCATGTTTTGGAAAGCTTATAATCTAGATTATAAGCTGTCTCTAGAGATATATTTTTTATTACTCCCTCAGTCCCATTTTGCAAGATACTTTTCCTATTCACTTGGTCAACACAAATAACTCTTAATCTCTTACTTTATATATCAAATTTTTATCAAATTTGATTCTGGTTTTTGCGACTTTGTAAAGCTTTTAATGTAGTTTCTGAATATGTAATTCTTTTTTTTTCTAAAAATAATTTGAGTGCGAAGAGAGATCCATTTGCTTTATCGTCGGTCAAACATCGTAAACCGTAAAGTGCCTTACAATTTGGGACGGAGGGAGTATTAACATTGTGTTTAGGCGACCTGCTAGAATCTATTATCATTTTTTTTTCAAAGAAGAAAATGATTCATGAATCTAACAAAAATAATTTAGATTACCTTGTTAAGGATGACTCTTTGTTGCACCCTACAAAATAAATCATTCTCAAATCTTTTTTTATCAAACTTGCTGAAACAAAAATTGGTTTTGATTATAATCAAATATGAGATTATCTAATTTATTCTCTGAAGTTCTGCATCATTTTTTTTGTCTTCTACACCCTCCATCCCATATATTGAGTCATATTTCATCGATAAGAACTAGTTTTTAAATGTGATTACTTGGCTTTTAAGAGTGTACCTTTAGAGATTTAATAGTTCTACCTTCACCAGTATGATTTTTTTGGGGATGGAGGGAAAATATAGTTTAACTGAGTATTTTGGTTCAGAGCTTTCCAATTCTAGGAATGTAGAGTTTGTGATGATGAAGCCAGACAAAAGAAGGTGGTCTTCAGATATCATTTTACTTCGAAGTATTTCCTTTTCTTGTGGTTTTTGGATTTGATTATTTATTTATGATCTCTGTTGTTGCAAAGTTGTAGTCATCTTCAAAACCTAAAACCAAACTTTATAACAGCTTCTTCTCCATCGTGTCTATATCCTGACATTCTGGAATGTATTTTTTACGCATGGCTTATTCAGGGTCTTGGAGGATAATCATGCCTTATTTGTGGAAACGGTGCCTTTCAAGACAATTGCATTTTTCACCTTGTTTCAGACAGTTTATCTGCTTCTCTGTTTCGGCATAACATGGATCCCGATTGCTGGTGTCCTTTTCCCAATGTTGATCATGCTTCTAATCCCAGTCCGCCAGTACTTCCTACCTAGGTTCTTCAAAGGGGACCATCTACATGATCTTGATGCTGCTGAATATGAGGAAGCCCCTCCCATGCCCTACAATATGTCCTTCAATGTAAGTGATGTAAGCTATATATAAAGGAGAATTGCATATTTGGTACTTTAGCAGTGCGTGATGAGTCATTTTCATCTTTAATTTTGAAAACGTAAGCTGTACTCTGCCATTATTATGTGTCTAGTCTTTTGTCCTCGTAGTGCATTCAATTTGTTTTCTTTAGGCACTGGCTAAATTGGTTTGGGGTTGCCTATGGTTTCACACATTGGCATGAGACATTAATGAGTGATTAGCAGAAACAAAATATTAGGCTTAATGGTTAATAAATGCTTTTTTACACACTGAGATGTGTGTGTTTGAGTTGTAGCTTTAAAAAAGGTGGCTGCAAAAAAACTTTGGGGAAATTAGAAAAAGGAATTTGCTGATTCCTAGACAAAGCTGTCTAGAAATTTACTCATCATTTTCATTTACCCCAGTGCCGCAAAGGCTCCCACTTTCGGTGGGGTAAGGGGGGGGGGGGTCGGATGTACGCAGTCTTACCTCCGTACTAAAGCACAGAGAGACTGTTTCCGGATGACCCATAGTGAAATCGCGTCCAAAATTGCCTGAACTGACTGCTGCTGCATAACAAAGAAGCGCAGACAGTTTAGTGAGCCATTTTGCTTTATTCTATCATATTCTTAAGCCAAAAAATAATGAATCTTTGGCTCCATTGCAAATGATGGAAATACTGGAAATTTACTTATATATTTCATCCACATAATGGATTTGCTTTGGCATCATGGTCATCATCTGTCTGTCTAATACCACTACTACTAACTCTGTTTTTGTAAAATGCGTTCAGGATAATGCTGGTACTCCGAACAGGCCTATCCATGTCGATAGTGGTGAATATCTGGACCAGATGATAACAAGAAGTCATGGTGAGATCCGACATATATCCAGCCCAAAAGTAACTAGTTCAACCCCTACTTCAGTAGATGAGATTAAGTCTGTAAACAGCCCACAGTTAAGGCATCGGGCATACAGCCCAAGAGTGAAAGAACTAAGAGCAGAGAGGAGCCCAGCAATGACTGGGAAAGGACAACCAAGCCCCGGGCCATCTAAACTAGGCGGTCGCGACAATCTTGGTAACTCTTCCACCTAGTGATGAAGAGCTTTAACTATTCAGGTGGTGTTGAAGGTGTATGAATGGTGGTCGAGGGGTCAGTTAATAGTTGTGTATGGATGGTGGTTCTTGAGAGGTTGTGTATGATTGTCGTTTTTTAAATTCTTCCCGGCATTGCTGTTGTGCATAGTTTGCTGGTTTGTGTCTACCATATGGTTTGGGCAGAAGACAATGCTTTTATCATTAAGAAACTTGTGTGAATAAGTCTGGATATTCTTCTGAATAAAAAGGAAATTAAGTGAATAGATGCTACTACAACCTTTGATTTATTTAAACTTATTGCAATCTTTGTCAAATTTGTTAATATTTTGTAACATATTCGGGGCTGGACCTGGTGGTGAAACAGTGAAACCAGATTGGATTATTGGAACCGAGCAGGGAAATGGAACAACTCCAAACAGGTGTATTTTTTCCTTTTTCTGACAGGTTTCAGCTCCTTCGAAATAGGAAGGTAACATATTTTTGGGGGTTTCTTTAAATTTTTTCAAATTTGGCTAAAGAGTCTGAATGAAATCCATCAGGAATCCGAAATAGTTTAACAGGTAAAGGCTCGGGTTTCTCCTTCACCTACCCAACTAATCTGGACATAAGTGCTCTGTGCCTCTGTGGTTATATGTCCTTGTTAATCAGTACGGATCGATGTTTCTATATAGGAAAATTTCTCTAAATAGGAGTAAAAAATTTTGGAAAATTCAAAATAGGGTTGCTATTCTTTTCTTTCTGAAATATGAGTCGTTGCTATCATGATTGAAAAACATTGCAACGATTGAAAAAAATACTATCATTAGTTATAATGAATACTGTTAAGTTGAATGTATAGTATTGCAACTATTTGAAATCATGACAAAAAGAAGGGGCTGTTTACTTGGAACTTAATAGACTTAATGAACCTAATGATTTAGGCATTCATTTATTGAGTTGTGTTTACTTACAGCTTAATAAAATGGATGACTTATTTGCTCATCTTCATTTGAGTCTTTTGAACAATGAGTCCTTTTTGACGGACCAAAGAAAGCAAGGCGGTCATCTTCTTCTCGAGCAGAGTTCTTCTTTGGATCTACACTTCACTATTCGGTATTTGTCTTGATTAGTTTTGCATTTTTTTTTTAATTTCATACTTTTTATATCAATATACAATTACCTTATTATTATATGCTCTGCTCCGTTGAATTTGAACCAGAAGCAAACTCCCAAGCAATATACTCGCTGACCATACACAAACACCATCTTCATTTCTTGGCTCAATTTAATTGGAATAGAAACCATACAGAAACACCCATCTTCATTCCTTTTTTGGCTAAAGCAGAGCGCTACAAGCCTATGAAATTGATTCTGATGACAATTCCACTTACTAATATGTGCTGTATTTTGATTGTATAGCTTAAAATTCAATATTTGTTTTCTATTCTATTATTATTACGAACTGTTTTACTAAAGAAATTGTGATATGTCCTAACAGGGTATTACTCGGAATATATATTATATCTTCCGGAACAAGTTACTCGAAATTAATTGAACCAATTAGTATTTTGTTTTGAAAATTTCTTGAAGCAATGTTAATATTAATAAAGATCTAATCTCTGATGAAAAAAGTATTTAGCAACATCTAATAAAATGAAAAGCAGTAGTTTTACTCTCCCATGACAAATTGTCTAAAGATGTAATGAATGTATTATATTATTAGCATATTTGGATCATACTAAAGTAACATATTCAAAATACGCACTTTGGAAAAATGTAAAACATAATTTAAATATTAGGGAATTTTAATTTGATACCATATTAATCATGTCGTAAGAAATTACAAACGTCGCACTACAAGAATAATTATCTATAAATAATACTCTCTATAACTATCTACATCTTTACCATAGTTATCTCAATACTTTACTTCAACCGAATATATCATATTACTTTGGAGAATGTCAAGCAATAATGAGAATAATAGAGTTACTAGGGGATGCCAAAGAATCCCTCTCACTAAAATTGAGAATGAGATTAACCGTCAAATAACATTTTCCAAACGTCATTCTGGCATATTCAAAAAGCTAGTGAGTTGTCTACTTTGTGTGGTGTGGATATTGCTATGGTGGTATTTTCATCTGCAGATAAGGTTTATACTTTTGGAAGCCCAAGTGTCGATGCAGTACTTAACAAAACTTTAGTGAAAACGCTACACCAGAGGCAGGTGTGACCGATGAGATAATTCGTGCACATTATGAAGATAACATGAGAATCATTTCACCCCAAATAAGTGACATGGAATCTCTTGTTCATGATCTAACAAAAGAAAGTCAAGCTCACTGTGAATCTGAAAAAGGTAGACCACTTATTTCAAATCTACAATTGCATGACTTAGCTTCGAGAATATGAAACATAGCTTGGAAACACTTTTTTCTCAAACTTATGATACACTAAAGGAACCCTTGATGCAAGTTCAATCTCATGACCTAGCCACTCCAATGGATAGTGGTAGCTTGTATGGCCCCTTTTCATATGTTTGAATCAATAATGACAGTTCTAGACCAAGTGGAACTAGCTAGTTCATAACTTAAATGATTCTTTCAGCATCATGCATGGATGAGGAGAGTTATTTTTCTATATTCATATTCGGCTTAAAATCTCCTATGTTATGTGTGATTGTCATCAATAAAAATGTCAATGTTATTTTTCTGCAGCAATTAATGTTTTGATTTGGAAAGGTTACGTTAATAGACATGTTATTTTGTAGACCTGCACAAAAGCGGGCTCGGGCCGGGCTTTTCATAAGCTTTCTGCCCATCGTGTGTGGGCGGGCCCGGCCCGGCCTGCAAAAATGGGCCTAACCCCATGTCCATACCCGCTCGTAAGAGCGGGCCGGGTAGTCCACCAGGCAGCTGGGCCCGGGAAAACTTTAAATTTTTCAAAATTATATAATTTATTTAATACTTTATAAATAATATTATAACATTTACAAAATAGCTAATACGCTTATAATGTATATAGGCCTTTCATCACATACACAAAAAATAATTACACAAAAATAATAATGAGAAAGTATATCTAAAATTTAAAATTCAAGCACAAAGTATTATCTTTAAATACAAAAATAGATATTATATTGGTTGGACTATTTGTTAAGAACTAAAAAGTTAAATTTAAACATAATAAACTATAAATATGTATACAGATAAATTAGTAAATATAAAAATATACATGTGTACATGTAAATAAATACATAAATTAGTATATACTTTTTTTTACATCAATTAGTATATACAAAAATATATATGTATATACACTAAATGTAGCGGGTGGACTTATCGGCCCTAACGGGCCTACACCCTAACCCAAGCCCGCCCATATGTTGTTGCGGGCCGGGCCCGGGTCAGGCCGGTGGATAAATATATATGCCCAAGCCCGCTAATTTGTGCAGGCGGGCTAGGCGGCCCGGGCGGCTCGACCCGGTTTTGTACAGGTCTATTATTTTGTAAAACTGTGGTCAACCGTGCTAATATATAATATACTTTTGAGTAGTGAACGCTACAGACGTGCAGATAAGAATGTGCATACTTTAGAATCGTGCTCCCATAGAAGACATTTATGTGTTAAAGACTTCATGTACTTTAGATTTCAAGCTAAAATCAAAATAAAATTACTTAAATGGCTATGTTTTTTTCTAGTTTTTTTTAAGGAAAACCGCTTATATTAATATCATTATGATTTGGATCGTTACAACAATAAAATGCATTTCCCCCAGTAAAACTCAAGTACAAAAGTTCAATTATATGTGTTTTGAGAGTCTTCCAGCAATTGAGACATGAGTTGGTCCATCTTGAGGGCGGACCGGGCCAAGTATAGATAACCCGAAGTCTGAAAGCTTTGCACTACGTTGCTCATCTAACAAAAAATTTGATGATTCAAAGTCTCGAAATAAAACAGAAATTTATGTGTTAGGGGCATTGGTAATACCAATAACAAACAAATCAGTCATTTCATTTCATTTTCATTTACCCCAGTGCCGCAAAGACTTCCACCTACGGTGGGGTAAGGGGGGTCGGATGTACGCAGTCTTACCCCCGTACTAAAGCACAAAGAGACTGTCTCCGGATGACCCATAGTGAAAATCGCGTCCAAAGTTGCATGGAGTTAGGGCGGTGCATGGGTTGGGTTCGGGCGGGTCGGGTTTGCGAACCCTAAACCCGTTCGGGTTTTTTAATTTAAATACTAGGCCTGACCCTTTGATATTTCGGATCGGGTATTTCGGATATTTTTAGGTCGGATATTATCGGATATCGGGTCGGGTTTCGAATATTTCGGTTATATTAAAAAAATATAATTGAATAATTAAAGTGTTTAAATTCCACTTTAACAAAAATTGTACACACTAGTGCACTAAACATCCAAATTACACAAATAATTGAACACAAGTATTAATTTAACCACAAGTATTCAGGTCCGGCCAGGCCGGACCACTCCCCCCGTCCGGCCTCCTCCATTTGGGGGCCTTCCAGGTGGTATTTTTTTCTAAAATGTTTTGTGTAGGTTTCTCATCAAGTCTAGTTCATCCATACCAAATTGCAGCCAAAAATTCAATCGGGAAGGTCGTCAAATGATTTTTGCAAGTTAACTGGTCCGAAATATGTATTTTCCGGACCAGTTAACTTGGAAAACTCATTTGACGACCTTCCCGACTGAATTTTTGGATGAAATTTGGTATGGATGAACTAGACTTGATGAGGAACCTACACAAAAAATTGGAGCAAAAAAATACCACGGGGAAGGCCCCCAAATGGATGAACTAGACTTGATGAGGAAAGAGTACTCTTAATTTAACATATTCAAAGTACACACTACATAATTTAATATACTTCGGATATTTCGGTTATACTAAAACACATTATAATTGGATAACTAAAATGTTGGAATACCACTTTGACAAAAATTGTACACACTAGTGCACTACACATTCAATTTACACAAATAATTTAATACAATTTGCACAATATAATTACACAAATAATTGAATGCAAGTATTAATTCACCATATTCAAAGTACACACTAACATATATTTCGGATATTCGGGCGGGTCGGGTTGGAATTTTACAAACCCTACCCGCCACCCGATCTAGGCACAATATTAATCGGATTTTCGGTTTCGGGTTTTTCGGGTCGGATATCCACTTCGGTTCGGATAATATCTGGAAAAAAATCGGGTTTTTTGGGTCGGATTGGGTTTTGCTCAGCCCTACATGGAGTGACTGTTGCTTCATAACAAAGAAGCACAGACAGTTTAGTGAGCCATTTGCTTTATTC